ATTAAAAGTTAAAATGTGAACGATTTATCACTAATTTCATCGAATGATTTTTGCTCTTATATCAATTTAACATAGAAGACGAATTCATTCTCATGGATTGAAGATTGAAATAAACTTCGACAATTATAATATACAAAAATTAATTTTTTCATGATTTATTCTTTTTCTAATTTCACGTTTGATTTTAATTGCAATCATTGACGATGACATCGAAACTTACGCAACGCGAGAAGAGGTCGTGGACCTCGCGATTCGACGCGACGCGACACCCGCGTGCCAGCGCAGGGCACGATGCGAACGCAGGTAACACTAGAGCCCACCCACGGCGATTATCGCGTGTCTCGAGTATCGATCCGCGACACCGTGATCCGTCACGATATCCTGTTCGCTGATTTTTTGAAAACCGCCCCGTGAGCGCTCAGCCGGGACAATTTGTACGTCGCGCGAGCCACGTACAGAGATTGCGATCGCGGTGCCCGATTCTGATCGAATTGCACGCGCGATATCGTGTTCGATACGACGACCAAGATTTTTTTCTCCTTACGAATGCGCGAATGGATTCGGTTTCACTGAGAAATTATACGGTTGATTCTTTAACTTAAGACGTCGCCGTCATTGAAACGTTCTGCTCCCTCAATAAACGCTTTCTTCTACGCATTTTTTAGCCCACATTTCATTGATAATAATAAAGAGGACGCTACCGGATATTACGTTCGCATACTAAACAAGGACTACTGAGCGTGAGTTCAGTTTCGATTCGGACGGGATACGTGTTGCATGTAGACGTTGCATTACGTAATTCTACGAACAGACGCTCCCTATGCGTGCCACAAAACGTCGATGGGATATACTACTGACACGCTTTTCATGTTTTTCTCCACGTGTTCGAACGTTATCACAACTAACAGTGAACCGATAGCCTCGTTGTTGCACTTCAGTTCGATCGACTCTCACACCTGCTCTCCTATCATTTCTTTTCGATATAAAGTATTTCTGTTAGACTGTATACATATGTGTATTAAAAAGCGCCAAAGACATATACATGTATATTAAATAGACAATTCTATATTTCATTAAAAAAAAAATAATTAGATTTAATTCTAATCCGTAATTTGAATCTCATTATAGAGGAAATGGATTAAACGTGTTCAATTTAGTTGGAGGGTAAAGGCAGGTGTTATTCCCTCGTTTTCCCATAGGAAGTGGCTCCCGTTCCCCAAGAACATCACGTATCTGCTCCCGATCGACGATTTTATCGATCCGACCGGGTCTCGGAGGCTCTTCATTAATTATGCGATAGGCATGGATCGGATAATGATTCCATTAAGTACTCATGAAAAGGTGGAATCTTTGAAAAAAGGCCGCTGGCTAGACCGCCTCCTTAGAAACTCGCGTCTCTCTCGGGTCTTAGGCTAACGAGCCGGCTCCTCGCGTCCGTGTACGTACGTGGATAAACGCGGTTTTGCCACGCCAACAAGGACCGGCGAGCAACTAGATTTTAATTGATCCGCGCTCGCAATTAAGTCGATTAGCGCTCCACCGTTAAGAGCTTAATCGGGCGTAGATCCTTCGACGTAACGGGGCACACGCGTGTGTCCGTTTACTTTGACTCGAGTGCTGGCGGAGGATCGAGATGTTCGAGAAATGCTTGACTGTCGGCCGGAAAGGTGATGACTGACTCTCTTTGAGCCCGCCGTTCGTAGCGTGCACGTTGAAAGGGGCAGATTAGCATGAATTGAAGTACCATTTCAGAACGCTCCTATCTGATTCCCTTTTTTAATAATTGCCTCGCGTTTGGAAAGTGGAACATGTTTATATTCCCCTTATAATTAGAATGAATTGCAGTTTCATCCTCTGGGGGACGAGATTTCCGTAACTTCAGAGAGCAAAACGGTGTCACTCTTATTAAGAGATAATTCTCAATTTGCATTTTACAAGATTTCAAATGAAATCGTCACGGTACGATTTTTGCCTACAGCGAGAAAGACATGCACGGGGCGTATATTACGAGGGACCGATTCGGGTCTACCTTTTCTGCGTAAGCTTCGGACGCTCCTTTATGCCTGCAGCTACACTCGAAACGCTGGGAGACGGCCGAGTGCACCACGTAGCCATTAAGTGTAATTACCTTAAGTACGGGCGCGCGCTATACTGTATGGAAATAGATGTAGAAATAAGAGACCCGTGGCTGAAGAAAAGTGAGACACAAGCAGGAACGGAACGAAGGAAGAGAAACAGAAAACGAAGCGAAAGACGGTTCTCTTCCCTTTCGAGATCTGACATCAATCCACGCTTTCAATTATGCGAAATTAATTGACCCGTGCCTTGTATCATAATCTCTCCCTACGTGCGATCTCGCTCACGGAGTCTGCATGCGAGCTTACTAGAATTGAAATTTCCTGCAGAACGTTCTGTATATTTTTGTACATAAATTTCATTGCGCTTTTCCTCTTATCTGTTCCGTTATTTCATCAATCGTATGACCAGGCAATTTTAAGGCGGGCAAAAAAAAAGAAAAAGGAAAGTTCAGTCCCTTTATAAAAAGATGATAATATGTAAGGTAATAACTTAACGAAATTGCGAAAGTAATACGTATCGTGAATTCTCATTTTGTAACAAAAATTCGAGTGAGAAAGAAGTCCCTATCAGAAATAATTAATTAGATCACCTCCCACTGTAATTACGTCAAAATCTTAATGAACGACCCTCATTCCCCGTTACACGGGGATACGTTTCTTATCCGAAACATTCCAGGAACCGATCGGCGCCGCGAGGCGGTCGCCCGGCCGCGTGTAATTCGCGCGTACACGCGCGCGTACGACCGGAATCTCGGCCGTATGTTAATGACATCGAAACGACCGACGGCGTTAATGCGCCGGCCGCGCCGCGCCTGCGAGAAAGCGTACGTAATGCCCGACGTGTAGCGCGTCCGACCACCAACGTGGCGCAATAATGACGTCGCGTCTCTCAATTTTATTATTTTAATGTGCGTGACCCGCCGCGGTCCGACCCACGCGACTCGCATACGCGCGGATCCTCGCCCGTCCTTCCATAGGAATCGTTTTCATTCACAATCACTAACGCTATCCCGTTCCTTCGCCCATCTATCCGTCCTACTCGCAATTACGTGTCCGAAAATCGTGTCCGAAAATCGTGTCCAAGGATAGAAGTAGTTGTTGAATTATGGAACTTTGATAGTGCGTATTGATTGAATTAATTAATATTCCCTTGTGACTTTCGATTTTTGATATAATTTGCAATTTGATATAATTTTTTATTAAAAATATATATGCACCTCGCAGGCTGTTATGTTTGGTCAGGAGAAGAAAAGGAAGAGAATGTTAAATAAGGAGTTGCTCGGCATTCAGAAGTGAGCAACGCAATTACCACCCTTCGTATTTCCGGTGCTGACAGATTTTCCTGGAGATACCGCACGCGCTTCCTCTTTCACGTCGAACGGGAAACGTGGCAGATACGTAGCACGAAATCAGCATTCAGTCACCGGCATTTCACGCGACGAGAAATTTTCGATTTCGATCGCGACGCGCGTGCACGACCAATTAAATATTCATTACCGCAGTCACCGTGGCTCCGGCTACGGAATACCCCGCGAAACATCAAAGCGGAACAGGCGAGCCGCTGTCCAGGACCTACCGGTCATGCTACGTGCGCTTAGCCGGTCGCCGCTGGCCGCGGAATTCCAATCGGCCACTTGTTATTCCGGACATCGATCCTATGAAACGAATCTCAGCCGTCCGCAGGCTTCCCCTACGCATCGCCCAGTCGCGGTCCCCGGTAATTCCGTCGCTACGAGACGGTATTTCGATAGCGATTCCGTTTCGACGACGACGACGACGCTTAGTTCTCCACGAATTAAACGACTCGGAGGCGCGTGGAATTTTTAGATGACCTCATTTTCCCACGAACTACCATCGGTCTTAAGCTTTTCTTACCGCGGGCTTGTTTTCTTTAGAATAAAACGTTGGAATCCAGTCTTGTAGAAGACGTTGACAAACTTGTCACAATGGAGAGAGATATTTTTTGACTCATTACTATTTTTAATTAAGATTGAATCGATCGATTGATTAATTTTTCGAACGTCAATATAAGACGAATGATTCCGACATTTTTACGATTCCCAATAATTACGCGAAAACTTTCGACGTAATTACACGCGGCTTATAATAACGGAGATAAGGTTTTCGTTTGCTTACTTGCTGCGATTTTTTATTCGGCGCAGTTTCGGGACACTCCGGGTCCGTCGGGTCAAGGCAGGGCTTGCTTTGGTAACCGTTCGTTATCCCGGCCCTCTTCATGTAGTCCTCCAGGATTTTGAAAGGGAACATGAACTGCAGTTTCTTCATCTCGTCCAGCATGCCCGACGGGTTCAGATTCGTCCACTGCACCGGCTTGTGCGACTGCGTACCGCTGCCGTGAGACAATAAATTGAAAAGAAATTGAATCATTTGATCATAATTGGTATCAAAAAGTAAAAGATGAATGATCTAATTGCAGTTACAATTCTAAACGTCTGTGTACGACTGAAAAATGAATAAAATGAGAAAAAAATGTACTTTGTCATTAATGAACCGTGCAAGCACATAGTTATTTATACTCTGTTGTGCATAATTCATATTTTTATCTAATCTACATACATTATGCAAACCGTATTATCAAATTAATTATGTATGAAATTTTAATTTGAAACTTAAAAAGCACTCATTATCCCTATAATGAAGTCGTTTGAATAGTTTATTTCAAGCTAATTAGTCCGAGCAAACTACATAATGTTCTTCATCCATATGCTAAACGGAATACATACATACACGTGAAAGAAATGTTTTCGGGATAGTTTTATTATACTTACGGTATGTGCACGGGATACTCTGGTCCCAGGAGTTTGCTACCTTCCCAGAAACAGTCGAGAGGTGTAATGATGGCGCACGGTATTATACTATCAAATATCTGAAATAAAAGAATCGTTTAAGAGAAACCTCGATTCCCTAACTAGAATTCATATAAATCTAATTGTAAAGAAATTAACTTGTGTGTTTTTATAAACGTGTTTTCAGAAACGAGAATACATTTGAATTAAATGATCGATTCAGCGAGCTGAGGGATTGCAGCTCATCAGGCAAATTATCATAGCTGTTAATTGAGCAATGCGAGTTTTCCCAAGGCTGACGGGCGAAATTGACATGTTCCGATGTATTTAATGGATTGCTTAATGACGAACCGTACGTTCACGGCGCCGATTTACGATTATTTCTCCTTTTCTTCGATAGTGGACACTAACGATCGCCATAAGGTTTTTCTTGGTAGCGAAGCATTATGAGAGACCACCTGTGCGTTCTCAGAAACTCGAATAGGGCGGTCTCTCCAGCGAAGCGTTTCATTTTTTTTTCTCTTCTTACCCTCCTTGATTTACGAATAATATGGATTTCTTTAGGATACGCAGGGCTAACGCACATCCATTACATTGTCATCCCGATGGTTTCGCAGTCGATATTCAAGTCACGGTATCGACGTGCTGATGATATGATTTAAGACAAGATCTTAGCTGAAGATTGAATCGTTACTAGAATAATTTAGTGATGATTTCTTAAGCAAAGTGTAAGATAATTGAAATTATGTAGAAACTACGCGTGTTGACAAACTTCAATCAAGTCAGACGAGCAGTAATTTCGTCCCATGCGATTTCAGTTAGCAAGAGTAAACGGCACGGAATAGAATGAAGCGCCCTATACCTAAATAGCCCTGGGATAATAATATTCCTGTTTGCCCGACATACACAAGACACCGCCGTGTGATTTAGCCGGTTGCCTCGAGCAATTCCTACATACCGGAACATCTATCATTCAACGGAGGCTTTGAGATTGAAACTTGATGAATCGCGATGATCTTCGTTTCTTCGAAACTGGTCATATGTACAAACTCAAAAATCAATAAAATATTGTCTTTAATGCAAAAAGCAATTTTATTCTCAGTTTTCAGTAAATCCCAGAGAATTCCGAACAATATCAATAGCTCAACAATCACACTCGCTGAATCAATACAACATGAGATTAGCAAATCAGAATGAAAAACTAGAACATCCAATCGAGTAGTCGAGCTGATAATACCGCGGAAGCGCGGTTCGACACAAACGTTTCTCACGGTGTTTCGTGCTCTTCCTTTTCGAAACGCATCTAACGCGTCCGCTCGTTAGCAGCGCGTAAGAAACGGTGTAACACGATCGAGCGTGGATACGAGCGCGTCAAGTACGTGCAAACCGAGGTTCGCGTACGCCTTCCCGTGATCACGATTCGCAATTACGTGTTAACTGTACAAAAACGTAGCGACACGTGAACTAATTATTAATATAAATATAAATTTATTGCATTAGAAAAATAGATCGATATTGCAAAATACGATTGAGTGAGGATGCTTTTAAATGATCATGACGTTATCGTAGCCATCGCTAGTTTCGAGGTTTCCTAATGGGAATCGAGGAGTCACAGTGTGCGGACAATAACGCGATACCGTACTTCACGCGTCGAATACGTGAATAGCAAGAGGCGTACACGAGCGTAACCGCGTATCACTTACACGTCTACGTAGAGTGGTGGTGGTTCTAAATTACCTGGTCGATGTAGTGCATGTCGAAGTTGGGTATGTTCAGCGCGTAACACATGTCTTTCAGCTTCCACGTGCTGCAAGCGACACGGAACACATGCATTCATGAATACAAGTTTTGCATCCCTTTAAACCCCGGCGCGCCGATAACAGCGGCTCGGAGAGTGCTCACCGAGTTAAGAAAAACTTGAAACGATGGCAATCGCTTCTCTAAGCCGCTCCTCGGTGCACACGGGGTGTCCATGAAGTTTACAGAAAAGAACAACGCGATATTTGAAATTAGAAAATTAGAATTAAATTCTATCTTAAATTCTATTGCAAAGAAATTCTGTATTGTCATATATTTTATTATATTTATTGAAATCGTTATCGTTAATTATAATTATTTTATCATTCATCGATCGACAATCGTAGATTCCGTAAACGTTTCGTGTCTTAGATGGAATAAGAAGAAAAAAGACTTACATGTCGAACAGGTGTACGGTGACCTGCGTCGCCGCCTTCAGGATCGCTAAATGTTCCTTGAGTGCGGCAGGGTGCAAAATATTCGCTCCGGAATGCCTCGGCATTTGGATCACGAGCTGATGCGTCGAGGCGGCCGCTTCACCCAGCGCTTCCGAGGCGTAGGTCAGCTCTTTTTGCAACCTTCCACCTTCTGCGATCAAAAAACACCGCGTGAAACTCGGTAAAAGAATTCCCGTTCGACGATTTTCTAGCTCGACAGCTATAAATCCTCCAATCACTGAGAGCGTCACAGCTTTGCAGTTTTTAAGCATTAAGAACTCCATAATTGTTAACAACTTCGTTATATCTAACTTATAAAATTTGTTAGTCTTTACTTAATTTTTAACTGAAACTTCTGATGCGTTCCACCTGCCACGAGATGTGAGGAAAGAGAAAGCCGAATTACTAAGAAAAATAGAACGTTCTCTCTCACACATTGTGTCTGCAATAACAAGTTTCTAATAATTTCCTGTAATTCGTCAAAGGACGCCGCGTTCAAAATACAGGTTTCGGAACGCAGTTGTCTTCCTTCGAAGGGGAAATAGCACCTATACCTGGACCCTTTCAGCGGGTGCCCAGCCGAGCCACGAGGCTCGAGATTGGCCGGTCGCTTTATTCGCGACTCGTGCCACTTTAAGCTTTCGACGGACCACGGTACTGTTTATGCTCGGGACGATTCCCCGAAGAAAAACATGGACCGCGGCACCCGGTGTCGTAACACACGTTTCCTATGGCTTTACGGATATACCGGGAAAAATTTCTGGCAGGGTACCAATGAAAGCGTTCCTAGAAGAAGACGTGGAAATAGCTCTGTGTTATGGGTCGAAGAGACCGCCGGCCTCGACCCGAGACAACCCCCATCGATCTCCCCTCGACGAGCCAAATTTACTACCACAGAATCTTACATATCAATTACTTTTAAGGATGTATTGTCTATACAGTCAATCCCAAAAGTTTATGTACCTTAAAAGCATAAACTTTTGGGATTGACTGTAAAGCCAATACATCCTTAAACAAGTTCAATCGATCGCATATAAATGTACAGTAAAGTAGACTGAAAAATCTATTCTACTGAGAAGTTCAACAGATGAATTAATATTATTTTCAAGATGCGTGACTGTTGATAGATAAAGTATGCGAAAAGGTCGAGAGGAATTCCGTATTAGAGCAACCGAGCCTACATTTCATCCCAGAATTCCAAACGTCGAAGCTAGGAAACTCAAAAGCGGAGCAGTTCGACCGAGGGTGCTCGGGACCAGATCCGCGTGGAGCGCGAGCCGAGGATACCCGCGTATTCATCGGAAAGCAGCGCGGGAAGGAAGGGCACGAGAATGACGTCTGACACGGGGTACGTCGGGACCCCACCTAGTCGGATTTCACCGTCAAAAATGCCGACGGCGTATTTGCTCGTTCCGCCACGGCGCAGCCTCCGGAGACCACCCGTGTTGCCCGCTATCAAGACGGTTCTCAACCGGGACTCGGCCGCGATCCGTGGTACCCGTTACAGGACCCGAGCCACGCGGAAACCGAGTCGGTCGTGCCGGAGAACCGGCCGTCGAGAGTCGACGGGCGGTCTTTCGAGTCGATATTCAGGGATGTATGCCGGAATGAAACGAACGTATATACATATATCCGCAACGGGGCCTCATCGTGACCAATCTGAGGGACAGGGACGAATACCGTGATCGTAAACCTCGAAGGACGAACAATAATGAGGGCGGCGTGAAGAAACGACGACCTGGGTTACTGTGCGCGACCATCACACGGAGTTCCTTACCACGAAACGTTCTCCAACATATCCGTTTTATGGTCAAGATAGAGATCTCTGCTTTTCTTTCGAACGGTCTCGGGAATTCGATCAAGATGTATAAAAATGGTTAATTATTATTGCTCGTAGTAATAAACCGTTGATCTGGCGCATGTACCGCAACGCAAATAACGGTAGAGATAAGTATTAAATAACATTTAATAATGGGAAACGTGCAATTTCCCACAGTCTGCCAGATGCTCTTTAAAACGATTGCCTGTGAAAACACCAGTCACCAACGTCCGCTAATAAAATCATCAACGATAAAAGGTCTTCCGTAGTCGCGGCCACGCGAATCGCCGACTAACGAACGCTGGATAATTAATCAGAAATAATTGCCCGTATTTATCTACGCTCGAATCTATGGACTGTTTGTATAATGGATGCGTATCGTGACGTGAGTTAATGAAAGTAGTTACGAGGCGTTATGTAATACGATTACCGAGAGGAACGCGCGTCCGCGTGGAAGGAAAAGAGGCGCGACTCCTCCTCGTTCGCCGCGTGTCGTGGACAGAGGGGAAGGGTCATCGTGACCGACCTGGGTAACAGGGACAGATACCCTGACCATAACCCCTCGAGGGACGGTAATGAAGGTGGCGTGAAGAAGAAGGGAACCTGATTGCGCACGTTCGACCCTTTCCTTACTTACTCCTTCCACTCGTTTCTTACCGCGCTCCGAGGAGGCGGTGGAATGTCGAAAACCGCTACGCATTTGTCCACGGTAACAATGGCCGTTCGCTGCACGGAATCTATCGGCGAATTGCCGGCCGAAAAAAAAGGGCGAATTTTTATTCGACCGCGGCACGTGCACGGCCGTAAACCGTGTTATTGACACTCAATGGTGTATGCGAGGATCATTTACTCAAATGACTTTATCGGTCGCTGCCAGTATGCAGTACACGCGCTGTACAGGCTGATACAGTTTCACCGTTGAATCGGCTGTTCCACTAAAGTGAACCGTTTACTTTTACCTCAATATAAAAATAATGAGGAAAAGGCTTTGGAGGATCGTAAGTGTTTACGCATATTTTATGATAACGGATTTGAAATTGTACCGCGATCACAATTAGTCCCGATATTCCACTGCATCGATGATCACGCCTAAGACATGACGGAGTGATGCAAAACCAGGAGTACGAATGGCACTTGAAAGAAGAGACACAAATCTTCTGGGAATTAAGAATTACGCAGCATCCTGCAATGGCTCGAAAAGACGATCCTATAATTATTTCAGGCTACTGCATCGTGCTGGCTTGAAAAATCGAAGAAAAAGCGGCGTCTGCTGGAGGGGGCGATTAAAACGCTGCGGAACGTCGCGGTTTAAGGGCTCCTTCATGCTCGCTGATCGTGAGCCCGCCTGTACCAATCTAAATTTTATAGCCTCGCGAGTTCCCCTCAGCCTCCGGGCAACGGAACGTTTCCTCGAGTACGGAATCACTTACGACGAGACTCGACCTCCGCCTCGATGCCGCCCACGCGAGACGAGACGTCGCTAAACGCGGTACGGAAGATGAATCGAACTGTAGAATGCAGCGAGCGTAATAAAGACACTACTCTCTACGTTCCGCGTAGCAAGAAACGTGCGTCTGGGGCAACCACGAATCGGAGAGAGACGGAAACAGGAGAGAAAAGGGACGGAGCCCACTGTGATTCAGCCAAGAGAAGAGACGGAAGAAGAAAAGGGGAGAGACGCGTATCTTGATTTATCGGCGGGGCGTCTCTATAATTATTTCTCTGTCCCTGTCTGCCGCGCATTGGCGAGACCGCGCGTTCCCATCCTATCCGCACCCTTCCGGCTACCGTGATTGCACCGTGTAAGAATCTACTTTGCTCTCTGTCCCTCCAGGGCGACTTTGAATGGTCGCGTGTTTCATTGTCCATCGACTTCCTACTAATCTCCTACGTTTATCTTCTAATCTGACGATGCAGCGTTAGTCCCTTCGAAATCGTGATAACTCGTGGAAGTCTTTATCCATTGGCCAAAAAAGGCGAACGTTATTTTTCAATTTTGAAACCATTATTCATAATGCTGGATCGAGCTTGTTAAAGGCCATGATCATGGTACATCAGGGATACACGAAAAATCTACGGCACGTATAGTAGAGAGGACTGCATTAGGTATAACAGTACCTCGCTCCTATTGCGAGAGGCTGCACAGCGTAGTTTGGAAATCGGACAACGTGAGTCGAAGGGAACGAATGGCCACTTTCCGGTGCGTACGCGGGTTAATGAGCACCTTTCAAATTGCACGTACCGCAAAATAATTATGCGACCGAGGGGAGAGCCCGTCGGGAACGAAGCAGCTCCGTTCTCCCACATCGTCATCCCCTGTCGGCGGGATGGAAGAAGCGACGTTTAACGATAATTCGTCACTCGCCCCGAGGGAAAAGAGGCCACCGAACGAGGAGGAGAGTCTTGAATCAACAGCACCGAAAAGGGGAAAAGATCGGAAAGGAAGACGGAGAAAGGAAAAGAGAAACAGCGCGCGTTCCTCTCATCTTCGGGCACGAACGGACGTGGACGCGTACCAGTACGAGGGAGAGAACAGGTGCAACCAGCGGGCCTTTTGGTCGTGCAACCAACAGAAACGACGAAAGCCACGGGCGATGGAACAACGAGAGAAAAAGAGAGAAACGGACGGGGATCACTCCCACCCCATTTTCGTGGTTCTCGTGCTTCGTCCTTAAATGCCTCAGCAGGAGCAGAAGCAACGGCGGTGGCAACCCTCCTTAAGTTCTCCTCCTTAAATTTCAAACGAGGAGGCTGCTAAGCCGGACAAGGTAGGACACGACCGTAGAATCGTTAAAGGGATATTCCGTCCAATTACTGGTTATACGTTAATTTCGCGAATGTAACTAGCAAAACAGCCAAAAAGCTCTGTGCTTTTAACCAGGATGTACTTAAACACTCCTATCAATTGATTTGTATGTATAATGATCAAATTTGTAATACGTAAGATACTAAGAATTTAATTACGATTTAAATACTTAAATCTTTCGGCACTGACAGCCTTTGGTTTATTCATCTCGATTCTATAGACACATTTAGAGTACGTGAAGGCGCGTAGGTTTAATAATACATATTAGATCATATATACATATGTATAGATTATGTCAAGAATAAAATTACGAAAGCAGGAAATAACTCCAGGATCTGCTGTTTTGTTTAGTCTATCTGAAACGTCTGCCACTGTTTACGCATACTGTGAATTATTTTACCACCAGTGGCCACCATCTGTCGCTAAATAAACGTTCCACGAAACGGTTTCCCTTGACACTTTACGAATCAGTTCCGGAAAGTGGGCTCTTCCGTTTTGGAAGCCGATCCCTTCGCCGCGGACTAAC